AAAGACAGTTCAGAATTTTGGACATAGGACCTCATTTCCTAGTGAGCCAGACTGTTGGAGATGTGTGGAGACACTTTTTTAAATATTCCATCCAGTCCTTGTATTTGCAGAGGTCGCTGGTGCTAGACTAGTGCATGTCAATGACCATAGTTATGCTGCCACTAAAAACAGTCTTACCCACTCCACAATGTACCTGAAGCAAATATATTATTACACCAGACGAGGTAAATGTCTGTGCTGATAGCATAATGTTTGAAATTAAACTAACATTGCAAGTTGCATTGCATGAATTGTCACATGTTGAGGGACTATTTTCTCATATATCAGTTCGCTGCTGTCAAGCTTTCTATCAGGAAGTACAACTCGCTGCTGCTCAGACATAAATCCTTCAAATGCAAGGTTGGTTTTACTTCTAAAATTATTCTAGCAACAGACATTTACATCGACAGTCTGGCATAATTATTGTTTTGCTTTGGGTGTTTTGAGGAGTGGGTAAGACTGTTTTTAGTAGCAGGCTATCTGTGGCCATTGACATGCACTAGTCTAGCACCAGCGACCTCTGCAAATACAAGCACTGGATGTAATATTTTAAAAAGTGTCTCCATTCGACTCCAGCACTCTGGCTAACTAGGAAATAAGGCCCTATGTCAAAAATTCGGAACTGTCCCTTTAAGTTAAAGGTGCATTGTGTAACTTTTCTGGTCTGTCAAATGCTTTTCTTCATGGAGATGTTGTTGCTTTGTCTGGTACGTTTCACAGTATGGTATTGAACCTTTCTATCTTCATGGAGACTAAACCAGACCAATTTACAGGTCAGATCTGTGGAGTGTCAACACCACTCACAGTCAGAATGCTTGTTTTTCTAGGCATTTTTGAGCAATAAAACCCCCTGTAATTGAAAAATGTAAGGTAGAGATGTTTAATTTCATACTGTGGAACATTCCAGGCACAGAAACAACAAGGTGACAGAACCCCAGCCGAAAAGTTACATAATGCTCCTTTAAATTGGGTATTTGCAAACTATTTAAACTAAAAATTCACAAACTCAACATGATAATTTTCAACAGCTGAGTCCACAAACAGGTCCGCAGGGTCAGACTCAAGAGAATTAAGGCCAGATTGGAAGATAATGAGCGCCATTGGACTGGCATCTCTGACAGTAAAGGTAAAGTGTAACCAGAACACGACTCCATAAAACACTGGCAAGAAATGTGTTTACTTGTGACCACTGAAAAATACTGGGGCAGTGCTATAAAGACAACCTTTAAAGGGCCCATATTACACTATCTTTTGATCTGTTATAATCTTGTTTCCTCATCAAAAACACACAACCGTTCAATATTTAAGCTGAGTTCTTATCTCAAACTGAAAACTCTGTTCCTCACTGGATGCGCTTTACTGTGTTTTTAAGATCCATACGCCTTCATCAGAATAATTTGTACAATTTCAGCCATGAAATTCCAATCTCTACTAAAGAAAATGCAAATGGTGGAGTAGCTGTTAAGTTGAAAACTACCACTTCATGACATCACAAGGTGGAGCAGAGCATTTTGAGCTTTGTAGATGTAGACAGACTAATAATAAAGGATTACTCAAACGTGTGAATGAAACAGAACACAACTTTGGGTATGTTTTTGAGGAGATAGCAGCATTATAACATGGTTAAAAGTTCACAAAGTTAATTTTGTGTAATATAGGACCTTTAAAAAGTTGTGAGAATGTGGCATCCCCTTCATCCTGTTAGTAACAAAAAATATTATAATTGTTTGTGGGTATAGAGTACATATTTTTACTGTTGGCTGTTATGTTGAAATCACAGGCCCAAACACATGGCCTTGGTCAGAAGAGCCCCTCCAAACATCTGGATGAACTGGACTGTCTGTGTGGACTGTGCCCCACTCTGCACCATCATCCCAGTTCCTACAAAAAGGAAATATATTCAAATTATAAACTTGATGGTCATATATTCTTTATTTCTTTAGCTCATAACCCACTTTCGTCACTTTTGTATGTTACTTTTCTTTTTTTAGAGAAGTCCTTGGTTCCTTTTCTTTAAAGAATATGCTATTTTCTGATCTATTTTATAATTTGATGTCATCTAGTGATAGTTTTCAAGCTAAACGGCTACTTTTTACTTTTTGTTCAATAGAGACTGACCAGGACTGAAATATGGCCCCTTTAAATATTATTTTCTGAACTATCTGGACTGGTTTCACTCATCAAGCTCTGTTCCATAATGATATTATATATTTGATTTTATCTGTGGGTTGTGACAGAAATGAAGACTAATTAATTTTCACTTTTCCATTATCAGTATCTAATAAAGATAAACTATAACTAATATATCATTATCAGTTACAAACAATTAGAGATAACCTGTAGATAACAGCTTATTCAACTCAACTGAAACTATTTTTACAACCATTTTATGTTTGGTATCTCTTAATTAATGTCCAAGACTCTAGATAGCAGACTTGGACTGAGTTTTTTCCCATCCCCTTGGAGACCGTACAAGAGGCTAGCTAAGGAGCTAGTTATGGACATTTTAGATGCTTCAGGCTTTCTTATATCATATGTGACAAAAGATGTTCAGAAGAAATACTTAAGGGAATGAACAAAAGGGACTGTTGGATTTTGTGAAATTACTCATGTCCATGGGGAAGAGGCAAGCTGAAGAGATAGTTATGGACATATGAGATGCTACAGGCTTTTTACACCTTGCTGTGTTCACCTGGGTCCCTCCTGAACACAGCTGTGATGCTACAGGACACAGAGGAGGGACACTTTTGGCTCTTCCTGTCACAAATGCCACTGAGACGTGCAGTGTAAGTGTTGCAAGAACTGCAACAGTTTGCTAGCCTGATTCATCAGCCGGTTTCACTTCGTAGAAACTGTCTGACCTCACAGGGTTAGAATTTGTTCGCTCGACGGTAGGCAGGTACTGTTTTTCATTTAACCAGTCGCTGTTATTTGGTCGTGACTTACGTAATGTGCCACTAAAGGGGCTAACTGGTATATTAAACTTTTCCCAAATTCCATAGGAAGAAAGGCAATAACGTCTTTCCCCTTGATTAAATTCACCAAACAGTCTCTTTGTTCCAGCTTTAAAACCTTGATCTCAGGAATCGTTGCAAACACAGAATGTATGACTCTTCCCTAATTGGCTGGTGCCCGAACTTGCACTTCCAGGGTTTTTACTCTCATTTACTCTCTCTCTCTCTCTCTCTCTCTCTCTCTCTCTCTCTCTCTCTCTCTCTCTCTCTCTCTCTCTCTCTCTCTCTCTCTCTCTCTCTCTCTCAGAGCATAGGCGTACCATCAGCTGTTAAAATATGAACTATCCTGTGGCAGCGCATTTTGTAGATTTCAGCCATCCTATCTCTCCCTTAAGATATATTGGCATTGAACATGTAAAACTGCCCCCTAGAGGTGGGAATCTGGAAATGCTCTTGTCAGAAAGAGCACTTGTGGATACACCAACTTAAGACTCTTACTCCTCACGGACCTAATGTGGACTTTGACCTAACCTTTTTGTGATGGTCAAACTATTTTTGTATTTTGTGAGAATGTTTTTTATGTAAATGTCTGCCCATTTTTTCTTGTTGACCTCACTTTGGGACTTCCCATTAGTTTTTGGGGATATGAGCACCTGAGCTGGCAACCATTTTGTAAAATTTAGTCTAAAGCAAGAAAAAATGGTCTGACGAAGGCTTTTTGCCGAAACATAATTTAAGAATTAAAAAAAGCTTTTGGTATCAGCCATCTGAGTGTGCTATAACATTTTTTTCACTTTGAAATAGTTTTACCTGTCAGGAGTTTTGCCATTGTTCCTGCTGATCGACAGACTTCAGAACGATCCACGAAGTTACAGAAAGAGAGAGCAACTTTAGTGAATGGTGGTTTGTTACCTGCTCTGAGTTACCAGCTTTGAACATTACCTACAAGAGTCCAAATTTGCAAAGGCAGCAACACATTTATATTAACGAATAATAGCGGGTGAAAGTACAGCTGATAAGGCCGAGGAGGGGAAGTCTGTCTGGAAAGACTAATAAACCCACTTCCACTGGTAGTACTAATCAGTCATGCCGCAGGTAATTGCATAATTGACCTCGATAATATCAGTCGCCTCTTTGATATCAATGGAAACAACTGTCCATAGTATGACCTATCATGTTCAGTAACAACCTAAAATAAAAGAATAGTCCAAATTTCATTCCCCACGGCTGTTTCCTTCTATCTGTGTGTCCTTGGACAACAAACTTCTTTCACATTGCATTTGATTGTGTGATGTTTTATGACTGGATAATTGTTTGATCAGTAGATTAGCTGTGTTGTCAGGTCTAGCAAATTAAGTCACTTACACGTTTCGCAATCTGCTTTCATAACTACCATTGTATACTTGGCCTAATTTGTAAATAGTAGACTACAACATTTTACATAATCATTCCGTGTTTTATTTAAATTAATTAAAATGAAAAATACCAAATTGTTTTTATGTGCAGAATACTTCAGTTTCGGGCATGAACATTTATTATGTCTCAAAATTACCATTAGTGTTAGTAGCACTGAGACATTAACTTTTTATACGTAACATTTTAACATTTTTAACATTTTAGAACAACTCAGCAAAAACCTCAAAGAGATAAAATTGGACAGGAAGTAGTGATGCAAACAGTGAGGCTGCCAGTCGGTATTGTGCACAAAGCCTATTGGACCAAAAGCAGTGACTTCGTAAAGTTCAAATGATTGAGGAGTATAGCATGCATAAGTGTGTAACAATCAGGAATGGCTGATGTGGACAACCTTCATATTCTGAGTGACAAGGGTTAACTCCCCTTGTCACTCAGAATATGAAGGTTGTCCACATCAGCCATCAATCGTGATGCTGTGTGTGTAAAAAAAAAAAAAAAAAAGACACATTTTTGGTTTGCACATTTTTATTGCCACGTGAGCTGAATTATGCCAGTTTGATCTGAACATGCATTATTGTTATTTCTTTTTTATTATCGGGGCCAGTCGCAGCATTTGCAGGAGTCATAATAGATCAGACCAGGCTGGCAGTGGTGCAGGTAGGTGTTTCCCTGGAAACACTGAAAGAAAGTGTTTTTGTTTGCTACATTCTCATACAGGCCATCAGGGCGGCCCCGGCAGAAGTCAGCCATGGGGTCCCGAGTGGTGGTGGGTGCTGGGGTGGTGGTAGGCTTGGGCCCAAATCCTAAAGAAGCAACAGAAGGTTTATGCATATTTGAAAGTAATATTTCCCTGGGCACTGGGAGAAAGTAATTCAGAGTGACACAGAGGCAAACTCCAGTCTCTAGACAAACCTCAAAATAATGTCATTTATTTACCCATAGACATCCTGAGGTGGTTGACCAGTGGATAAGCCCCTGAGCCACAAAATGAGCCTCTGAAATCATCCATGTCCAGTGTCCACACATGAGCTCCACCCATTCTGTGAGCAGTCATATACTGGACCTACATGACAACATCAAAACCTCAACTGTTTCATTGAATTTATTATTGCATTTATACATTTTTATCTGTTTGTTTAAGAAAGAATAGAGAGCGCAGTGAGTTTGTACCTTAGAAGAGAAGCTGCGTTGATCATCGTAGCCAACCCAGGCACTGGCATAGGTGGCATAGGGAACCTCCTGCTCACTGATCCACTCAACAGTAGCACTGGGAAGGAAGCCACACACCTAACACACACACGGGAGAGAAATCATGCCAACATATTACCTTACTGCTGTGTTTAAAGCTTTTACTTTAAAGGGCCCATATTATGCTATTTTCTGATTTATGTTATAATGTTGTTTCCACATCAAAAACATACCTGGAATTGTGCTTTGATCATTCACATGAGTTTAACACACAAACTCTGCATATTTGAGTCCTTCTCTCAAACTGAAAACACTTTGTTCCTGCTTCTGATATCATGTGATAATATCAGAAGAGCTCCGATGTGATTTCAAACTCAGATCTTCTTTACAATCATTTGGATAATTTTAGCCCTGCAATTTCCAGTCTCTACTGGACAGATGGTAAAAGTTAGCAGTTAACTTGAAAACTACCACTTCATGACATCACAAGGGAGAACAGCATTTTGAGATTTGGAGATGTAGAAAGACTAATAATAAAGGATTACTCAAACTACATGGGGTATGTTTTTTTGAGGTAATAACAATATTATAACATAAAGGCTAAAAAGCAGACATACCTCATAGTAGGACCAGAAGCCAGCAGTGCGTGTGTAGGGGCCAGCCTCTGCGGGGCCATTGGCTGGAGCTCCCAGACCATTAGCTCCGGTGGTGAGGCGGAAGGTGCGGCCGTATGTGGGGAAACCGAGCAGCAGCTTCTCAGAAGGTGCTCCTTTGGCCAGCCAGTTGGACACAGAGTCGTTCTGCAGCACATTTATTTGTATCATCAGTGGGGAAGATTTTTTATTTTTTTTTGGAAATATTTCTTTGACCAAACTACAAAAATGTTCAGCAGGTCTCAAGCAATAATAAAAAAAATACTTTTACTTTTTAGTCCAGTTCAAAAATGTAGTGGTGTAGAAAGTACAGATACCTTCTCTAAAATGTAATCAGGTACAAGTAAAAAGTATACACTTTTTACTTAAGTGAAGTACAGGTACCTAAAAATGTTTTACTTGAGTACAGTAGCTATGGATCCTACTTGGACGACTGAGGGATTACTCAGACATCTTTCTTAAGCGCAGTACTTTCATATTTTTACTTCATTATATTCTACCACTGTATATCGTAGACAGTAGGTACAAACCACCCAGTTCAGCTGTCTCTTACTTACAATGTTATGGAACATCATAGACCCAGGATCCACATTACTGCGATACAGAGGGCTGTTGTGTCCAGTGACGCTCTCCCAGCTTCCATGGTAGTCAAAAGTCTTAAGGTTGAGGAAGTCCAAATAACTGTGATGGATACAGAGTATATTTGTTTCTCCATAGCACATTTAGACAGATCATATTCTCTATGGTTGAAAAAACACTTACAGTCCAATCTTGCTGACTTCATAGGCTGCATTAACGGTTGTGCGGAAACCTGCCACATCAGCTGACAGTATCAGACGAGGCTTTCTGTTATCCATGGCTTCCTGATCAAATGCTTGGGCCATTTCCTAGTTTAGCAGAGAAATCCATCTTTGTCAAAAATCCACATTAATCATAATTATCCACATTTGTACATTTTACACTACCCAGTTTTCCTCAAATCTGTATTGTTTAATTATGTAAAATGCATGCTTATCAGTGATGGAAGAAGTACTCAATTTTGTTTCTTAAGTAAAAGTACAAATACCGGAGCCAAAAAAATACTCAAGTACAAGTAATAGTGTAAAATGAAAAATCTACTTAAGTAAAAGTATTAAAGTACCTGTTTTTAAATGTATTTAAAGAGTAAACACTAAAAGTGATTTTAGTGATTGTAGTAATGTTGGGATTTTGATTAAGAATTGTTCCAAATTTAGTTAAGCTGAAACATTTGAATTATTTTTTCCTAGCTTTTTCATTTATATATTTTTCTGTGTTCAAACTACAAATGCATTCAAAATAACCTATAATTAAATAAATTATCAAATTATCAGAAAAAAAAGTACTTTGTTGGAGCAGAAAGTAAAAAGTGTCAGTTTTAAAATGTACTTGAGCAAAGTACAGATACCTAAAATATATACTTAAGTACAGTCCCTACTTCTACTTTGTTACATTCTATGACTGATATCTAAATTTGTAAGATGCACCCGTATCAGTCATATTATGTTATTTTAGACTTGACAAATCTGGAGAATTCTAAAATATTTTATGCTTATTCTTTGGCTACTAGTGGACTGACCGACAGCAGCAAAGTGAAGCGTTGCCGGTCTTCCATTGGACTTCCGTTGTGGCCAGGATAGTCCCACGCCACATTCAACCCATCAAAGTTATGAGTACGCAGATAGCTGAGCGCTGATTGGATGAATGCAGCGCGGTTCTCTGGTTTGGAGACCACTGAGACATATCTGACACAAGAAGCATCCAGATTTGGAGATGTACGAGTTGCCTGATGTTAAACATATAAAATTATACTCACGGGCTGATTCCATTTACTGTGCCTCCCACAGTTAGCAGAGTCTTCAGGACAGGGTTCCTGAATCAGACACATTAACATCAGCTCTTCAATAGTTATTACCACCATAGTGGGAATAACTATTGAAGTGGTAGTTGTAGTAGTTGTAGTAGTAGTAGTAATAGTAGTAGCAGTAGTAATAGTAGTAGCTGTAGTTGTGGCTATATCGGCTTGTCAAAGCCTGATCCAAGGGCTGTCCCTCGTTAGTACTTGGATGCGAGACTGCTGGGAAAATCAGGTGCCACTGTAGGGAGCTAGTTGCAAAAACTGACATTTTCTTAGGCAAGGCACTTCACCCACATTGCCTAGTATGAAACTGGTGCGTACAGGAGTGATGGTGGTGGTTGAAGGGGCTGATGGCGGAGATTGACAGCCTCGCTTCCCTCAGTCTGCCCTAGGGCAGCTGTGGCTACAACAATAGTAGCTTACCACCACCGAGTTTGGAGTGAATGAATAATGATCTGTAAAGCATCTTTGAGTGTCCAGAAAAGCGCTATATAAAACTGATGCATTATTATCATTATTATTATAGTATTATTATTATTATTATTATTATTATTATTATAGTGTTAAAACTATGTTCTAACTGGGGCTAAATTCACCATGGAATTCTTCATTATTTATAAAGGCACACCCTAAATTGTATAAATAAAATAATTAAAAATGAGGAAATCGGTATCAGGATGAGATCAGTAATGGTATCAGGGAATGGCAAATATTTAAAAATCATATCAGATCAGGAGATTAAAAAAAACTGAATTGGGACAAACTTTGTTATGTTTTTAAATATTAATTTATTTATATTTTTGATTTATTTATACCAGCATTTATATAATATGAAATGAATATCACAATAATATCCTTATCACAGTCTTATAAAAAAAAATCATATTCTTTTCTCATATCATGTAGGTTTATATCATAATTTTATCAACACTAAATAAAAATTATTAATTAAACTAGTGAACTTCAAATGTTTTAATATATTTAAATGGTTGCTATTTTTTTGTATTTTAATGTTTTTTTTCTCTACTCCTTGCCCTGTATTTACAATAACCAGAACACACATGTGCCCTCAGGTTTGTATGATCGCACTGCACAAAGAGGATACATATATAGGTCGACCTGAGCACAGGAACTGTCTATGGTCTATTGAGCCACTGCATGACTGAACAGTGAGCTCACAAACTCCACTTTGTAACTGTGAACAAACTGGCACAACAAAAAATAAGTGACAACATTTGGCTCTCTGATATCGGAGACCAACAACACCAGTGCGTATGTCCAAAAGTCTTTAAGGAAAAGAACTGTAACAAGAGAATGAGAGTGTCCTCATGTGTAAGTGTCAACCCACATTTACATACATGTATCCGATAATGCGGTATTATCAGTTATTTTGTGTTTATTTGAAAAAGTACACGTTTCTGATTATGTAAATGAGATGAAGCCTTGCAAACTCCACCAAAGGTTAAATTCCAAAGGTTGTCCCACATTCGCACTAATGCGCTATTGTGCATAGACAATTGAGACAAGGTGGGTGTGGTGTCTGGCCCAACAACAGTATCTACCTCCTGGAGCTGGATTCAAAAACATAACATTTAAATTTGAAGTTTAATGCTGAGTCACTGCCACTTTTATGTAGTGGAACTTTTATTGTGGAGGGTCTGGCACCAGCTTGTTGTCTCCATGGATATGCTATTGCTTTGCCAAGAATGTTCCACTGTATGACATTAAAGTCATCTATCTTTATGGAGACAAGCAGATGGCGCTATCAGAGTTACAGGTCAGATCTGTGGGGAAGCAAATTTGCTCACAGTAGAGTGCATATTTTCAAGGTTTTTGAGCGTCTGTAATTGAATAAATGCAAGATAGCTATATTTAATGCTATACTGTGGAACATTTCAGTCAAAGCAATAATAATAATAATAATCTCCACACAGGCAATCAGGTGGCAAACTTCTCACCAAAAAACTGCACCTGTATTAAAACCTTTTACAGTTGCATATTGATTAAAAAAGTATTATCCTGAACATTTTTTCCTGATGTCTTTCACTTACGTGTTCTTAAGAAGCTGGAGGCGTACAAACTGGTCCTCATCATTCCACTCGATGGGGGTGATTTGGTTGAAGCTGTTGATCGTGACCAGATCGTAGATGACGTGGGTGCACAGGAAAGGGTCGACATTGTCTGGAGTGAACCTTCCATTATCTGGACGATACTGGGCCCAGTTGGTAATGCGGCACATCAGGTTATTAGATGCAACTGAGAGAAATACAACACAAAATTATCTCAAAATAGTTCATTTATTATCCTGTCCAAATTGCAAACAGTTTAGGACTTACCCATGTGCAAGGTGAGCAGCACACCCAAAACTGAAAAGTGTGAGGCAGACAAGAAATTATCCACATAGACTTATGTGGGACTTGAGAATTGCAAACACTATCATTTATATTTTGAGGGATTTTATAGTCTTATCTTATACTAATTCTTCATATCTATTTTTTTCTTGAAAGCACATGCCAAACTTTAAATGCATTTTGTAGAATTGACATTTGTATTAAAGGTGTACTATTATGTAACTTTTTCTAGTGGAGGGTACGCCACCTGCTTGTCTCCACGAACAAGCCTGGAATGTTCCACAGAATAATTGCAATTACAGGTCAGATCTGAGGTGGGGCGATCTTGCATAAAGTAAGAATGCATGTTTGTTAAGGTATTATAAGTAATAAAATCACCTGTAATTGAACAAATGCAATGCTAGTGTCCATGGAGATGCCCATAATTAGTGTGGAACATTACGGGCATCTCAATGGACACTAGCAGGTGGCTGACCTTCCGCCAGTGCACCTTTAAAAATGTATTATCATCAAACCTTTTGCAATGTCTGTATTTTCCAAGCTGGCTCTTTCTGATTAGTTGTAATAGTTTTACCTGTCAGGAGCTTTGCCATTGTTCCTGCTGATCGACAGACTTCAGAACGATCTATGAAGTTACAGAAAGAGAGAACAATTTTAGTGAATGGTTATGTATACAAATGTTTAGTAATCTATCACTAACATTGCACCATGAGCTCTAAGGTGAACTAGAGTTACCAGCTTTGGACCTTACCTGCAAGAGTCTAAATTTGTAAAGGCAGCAACACATTTATTTTAATGACTAAAAGCGGGTGAAAGTACAGCTGATAAGGCCAAGGAGGGGAAGTCTGTTTTGAAAGCCTAATAAACCTATTTCTACTGGTAGTACTAATCAATCATGCCACAGATAATTACATAATTGACCTCGATAATATCTGTGACCTTTTTGATATCAATGGAAACAACTGTCCATAGTATGACATATCACTTACAGTAGGATATCCAAATATGGAGCCTGGCTCCAGATTCGCTCCTCTAACCGTTAGCGTCAGGAGCTTCATTTGAGTGGAGCTGAATGCTGTGGGTGACAGCCATGGATCTGTCAAAACAGTGAGTGGACACTCACTGGTACTTCAGCGGAAAAAATCCCCTGTGCTGAGAAAGGATTTTTCTCATAGAGTGCAATGTAATCACAAACGTCTTGTGTTCAGCTGACAGGTCACCTACAACTTTCAAAAATGTCAGATTTTGTGGCAATTTTGACGTATTTTTACATCATAAACTTTTTCTCAGCTCCTTCAGTTGTCTTAAAAAAAATGCTTATATAATCGTTTGCTCCGGCTCCGCTCGCTCTGATTGGTCAAAGCGATCACATGATACACGAGACCATGCTCCATGCGTGTGCCCCATGGATGTGTGCCCACAGGAGAAAAGAGCACTACTGCTCATGCTCAATCTGCCCACAGCCACCGGAAGTACCTAGCCAGACTAAAAGCTAATCTGGAATCATGTGCCATTGAGCTCAGCTCCTTGACTTGAATGGGCAGCCATTTTGAAACCCAGGGGCTTGGTGACATCACTCGCTTAGTCCACTTTTGTATATAGTCTAGGCTCTGTGCATAGCAGTCGTCAGCTAGCTCATTATGTCCAAAACCTAACAGTCATGTTTATCAAAATCATAAAACGTAAAATAAACAACCTATTAAAATTTAAATTAACATGAAAAATACCCAGTTGTTTTTATATGTAGAATACTTCAGTTTATGGCGTGAATATTTATTATATCTCAAAATTACTCGTTAGTGTTAGTAACACTGAGACACTAACTTTATTCATTTTAGCATGACTCTGCAAAAACCTCAAAGAGATAAACTTGGACAGGAAGTAGTGACAACAACAGTGAGGCTGCCAGTCAGTATTGTGCACAAAGCCTATTGGACCAAAGGCAGTGTGTTCCTAAAGTTCAGATGATTGAGGAGTATAGCATGCATAAGTGTGTAACAATCAGGAATGGCTGATGTGGACAACCTTCATATTCTGAGTGACAGGTGGAGTTAATCAATCATGATGCTGTGTGTGTAAAAAAAAACACACAAAAAAACACACACACACATTTTTGGTTTGAAGTGTTCATTACAACATGAGCTGAATTATGCCAATTTGCATTATTGTTATTTTATTTATTTTTTTTCTTCTTCTTCAGGGCCAGTCGCAGCATTTGCAGGAGTCATAATAGATCAGACCAGGCTGGCAGCGATGCAGGTAGGTGTTTCCCTGGAAACACTGGAAGTAAGTGGTTTTGTCTGCTACATTCACATACAGGCCATCAGGGCGGCCCCGGCAGAAGTCTGCCATGGGGTCCCGAGTGGTGGTGGGTGCTGGGGTGGTGGTAGGCTTGGGCCCAAATCCTAAAGAAGCAACAGAAGGTTTATGCACATTTGAAAGTAATATTTCCCTGGGCACTGGAAGAAAGTAATCCACAGTGACACAGAGGCAAACTCCAGTCTCTAGACAAACCTCAGAACAATGTCATTTATTTACCCATAGACATCCTGAGGTGATTGATCAGTGGATAAGCCCCTGAGCCACAGAATGAGCCTCTGAAATCATCCATGTCCAGTGTCCACACATGAGCTCCACCCATTCTGTGAGCAGTCATATACTGGACCTACATGACAACATCAAAACTTCAACTGTTTCATTGAATTTATTATTGCATTTATACATTTTTATTTGTTTGTTTAAGAAAGAATAGAGAGCGTAGTGAGTTTGTACCTTAGAAGAGAAGCTGCGCTGATCATCGTAGCCAACCCAGGCACTGGCATAGGTGGCATAGGGGACCTCCTGCTCACTGATCCACTCAACAGTAGCACTGGGAAGGAAGCCACATACCTAACACACACATGGGAGAGAAATCATGCCAACATATTACCTTACTGCTGTGTTTTCAATCAAACTTCATTTATAAAGCCCTTTACAACACTCAAGGTGACCCAAGTGCTTTCTAATAAAACCAACACAATATAATAACATTCAAAACATTAAACAATGAAAGAAAATTAATTGTGCAATGTGTACTGAGTGTTAAAAGCCAGTCTAGGCTGGATTTAAACAGAGTCTGGGGCCAGTGACAGAGAACGCCCGATCACCCAGGTGTTTGAGCCTGGCTCTGGTGACTCCCAGTAGAAGCTGATGGCTTGACATCAATATCAATGCTCTATTTGAGCTTGGACAGACAGGAGTTCAGTCAAATAGAGGTGAGCAAGACCATTAAGAGTTTTAAAAACAAATAATGCAATTTTAAAATCAACTCTAAAAGAAACTGGAAGCCAGTGGGGCGGCAGTAGCTCAGTTGGTAGAGCATTTGCCCACTGATCTGAAGGTTGGCGGCTCAATTCCAGCTCTCGACATAAAAAAAACATCACAGGTTGAGCGGTCAGATCCACTGACCCACAGATGAATGCTGTCGTTGTGTCCTTGGGCAAGACACTTAACCCACCTTGCCCACAGTGTCTGCATACACTGGTGTGTGAATGAATGTGTGTGAATGGGTGAGTGGTTCCTTGTTGTAAAGCGCTTTGAGTGCCTTAAAGGTAGAAAAATGTGACCATTTACCATAAAAGGATGGGGTTGATGTGCTGACGTCTGGGAGGGTTATTTAAAAAAGACACTGCAGTGTTCTGCTTGAGCTGGAGGCGACTGTGGGCAGACTGAGACATCCCCACATAATGGGTGTTACAATAGTCTATTCTGCAACTGATAAAAATGTGAATGGTCTTTTTAGTTGGTGTGATTTAATAAAATGCTTTACTTTCGATAAAAGACTTTGGATAAAAAAGATTATCTCACCACACTGTCAGTGTGTTTGTCAAACTTAAAATGACTTAGATTCCTTACAGTTGATTTTAACTTGGACGATATCCAACCAAAATCTGAGAAAGAAAATCACCAAATAAAATATATTCTGTTCTGTCCCAAACACTTTTTTATGTGTCTGTAACACAGTCACTTACAGATTTAAGAGCACCACTTTTGTCTGGGCATACAGACAGATAAATCAGCAGGTCATAGCATAGCAATGAAAAGCTAAATAACCCGTGCCTTGCAATAATTGACCCCCCTTGGAAAAGGGGTTTCACTACAGCATGTTTAAGAGAATCAGGTGCAGATTCTGAACTGAGAAAAGTGTTAATAACCAACAGGGAGGAACCTATAGTGCCAAACACCTCCTTTAACAATACGGTGGGAAAAATGCCCAGGGGACAGTTCGTAGCTCTCATTTGTTTGGTCACATCTGTGAGGAAGGACAATGAGGTTCGGACTGCTCAAACATTGCTGAGTGTACAGCCCCAACAGTCTCGATTGGACAAATGCTGAGGCTGCTGATTTGTGTCACAGACACCACTTTTTCGACAAAAAAAGAGTAAAAAGTCCTCACAGGTGAAAACAGGAAAATCAATCAAAGGGGTGTGTGGATTCACAACAGAGTTAATACTGAACGACACACGAGGGCAGTGACCATTACTGCAGACAATTTCAGACTGATATTGGCATGTGGCCTCTGTTATAGCTCTGTTAGTGAGTGAGGCTCCAAAGCTAAAAATGTGATGTCATGCAGTGGTAGTTTTTAGGTCAACTACTACTGTTTACCTTTAGTTCAGTAGAGATAGGCAGTTCTAGACCTGAAATCATCTAAATTATTCTAGTGAAGGTGTATGAAGTTTAGAAACACAGTGGAGCATTTCCTGTATACCATATGACATGACAATGTGTTTCCAATTTGAGAAAAGAACTCAGCCTAAAAATGTAGGGTTTGTTTGTTTAAAGATGTGTGAATAAAACAAAACACTACTCCAAGTATGTTTCTAAAGACAAAACAATATTGGATCAAAAATAGTGTAATATGGGCCCATTAAGTGTATCCTCTCATTTAGGGCAGACATACCTCATAGTAGGACCAGAAGCCAGCAGTGTGTGTGTAGGGACCAGCCTCTGCAGGGCCACTGGCTGGAGCTCCCAGACCATTAGCCCCAGTTCGGAGGCGGAAGGTGCGGCCGTATGTGGGGAAACCGAGCAGCAGCTTCGCAGGAGGCGCTCCCCGGGCCAGCCAAGAAGACACAGAAGAGTTCTGCAGCACATTTTTTGCATCGTCAGTTGAAGAAGTACTTGATTTTGCAGTGCAATTACTGAAGGAAGAAAATGTTCAAGTAAATATATCACATGAAAATATTGATTTAAGTAAAAGTATTAAAGTACCTGTTTAAAAATGTAATGGGTAAAAATTTTCAATATTTTGAGATATAATAAAACTTCAAATGTAGAGAGTTGATCAAGATTTGTGAATTCTGTTCAACAGAAACTATTGAACTGATCAGTTTTTCCTCATTAAAACTTTTCAATTCAATTTTCAATTTCAATCCAGTTAAAAAATGTAGTGGAGTACAAAGTACAGATGCCTTATATATTTATATATAATGAAGTAAAAATAAAAACTCCCCTTAAAATTTACTTAAGTACAGACACCTAAAATGTGTACTGAAGTACAGTAGCTGTGGATCCTACCTGAACGACTGAGGGAATACACAGACATCTCTTT